TTCAATTTCATTGCTTCAAGCAAGCATGAAACATGTATTGACAAATGCCGGAAAGATTCGAGAAAACCCTTTTTCTGGCCAAATATGATGTCCAATTTGAGAAACAACTGCGCAGACGGGAAACATGCTTTTTCCAAAGGAAAAGCGCGCGTTGTTCCAATTCCAAACTTCTTTCGCTGGTGTCAAAATTGCGTCTGGACGCACTGAAGACCTGCTGGCCAGGAGCATCGGAAGCTTCTGGAAGCTATTGAGAGCTTCTGAACGGAGCGTGCTTCGCCCAGATCCAATAACACCAGCATTTTTATGATTTTAAAAACTTTATTATTCAAGAGAAATTAAACAATATAATTTTTTATATATATCATAAATACATAATTAAATAAATAAAACAACTCTTTGTATTCCGAATCAATGATTTTTATACAATTTTCTTATAATTTCATCATTACCTTTTTAGTATTTCCTTTCCTCGTCTTCTCAAAAAAATTTGCCATTTTTTGTTCACATTAGTTTCGCCCAAAACTTGTAATTTTTGTCACATTTCTTCTCTTTTTTTTCGCATTTTTGTCATTTAACCCAAAGTTCAAAGTTTGTGAAACGCTTTCTAGTTTTTCTTCATCATATTTTAAAATTTTTTTCTTCTCTTTTTCTAGGAAAATTTCGTAATTAATGTCAACGATTCCGAATGGTTTAGAGAACTGGAACAAAGGTTATACAGAAAATTCAGAAGAAACATTTTGCAAATAAATGAAATTGTACATCATGAATATTCTATGTGTTTTGCTTGTTTTTCAATGCATGCTTCTCTCTCTCTCTCTCTGTAAGGTAAATGATATTCTTAAGAATATTAAGTAATATTGTTGTGAGAATCAAGTTATATTGATAAGAAAATTAAGTAATTGCACAGAAATTATCAACTGAAAAAAGTTCACAAATTGGAGTCACTTAATGAGAAGTAAACTAAAGAAATCCTATTTCTTATGATACAAAAATTGTTAGTGTACGTCGTTCTTGCATATTCATCACTCAAATATGCCTCGCAATTAATTATAATTAATTAAATACACCAAACAGTTTTGAAAAACTTCTAAAGATAATAACATGTAATGGACAATGACACGCTTTTAAGTTTTACAGATAAATAATTCGGCGTAAATATTATATTGATACTTGCTTTAATGATTATGATGTTAAGTTTAAATAATGTGATTGGTAATCTTTATGTCAATTTATATTATTTTCTCATCATTTCACTTTGTTTTCTCATTTTTTTTCTTCACTTTTATTACTTGGAATTAAAAAACGGCGTAAATGTGCGTCAACCATTTTCGAATTTTTTTTACCTTTTGGTCTTCTCATGTTTTTTTCTACTTCATGCTTGTTAGCTTTTCAATTCTCTTATCAATAGTTTTACTTAATTTTTTTTGTCACTTTTTTACACAAATATTTCACTTTTTCTCATTTTTTTTTCATTACTCGATAAGATATTCTTATTAATTCGATTGGCCTCTACAATTATGCTCTTTTATCGTCCAATCGTCAAACAGACGCCAATAATACTTGAGATTTATACACAATGCAATTAATTGTAATATATTTCTTTTTCATCATTAATTTTTTTTTCACTTCAATTATTTTATAAGGTTTTTTGTACGTTTCACAATGGCTAGCTTCGACTTTTTTTTCCTTCTTGCTTTTCGTCTTCACTCTTCGACCTGGTTGTCTTGATCTGTTTTCCTTCATGCTTTTCGGTTTGGTCCACAAAGATCTTCCAATTGACTCGCGCTAATGCGAATCTTCTTCTTTGTCAAACCTGATGGAGAATTTAGGAGAATAATCACGTCTTCTCTACCCATAGAATTAGATACCATAATAGATTTCATTTTTTTCGTTAATCAGTGTTGCTTTTCCCATGTCTCTCGCCTCACTACATAGTTTAATTCTTCTTTCTTCGAAATTGTAATTCATTCTTCAGCATTATTAAATATATAGAAACATTTTAATCCTTTCATTTATATACCTTCTATATCTATTCAATAATAATAGTTTTTTTTATGATTAATTGGTAATTTTACATAATACAATAATAAGGGGTTAGTACTAATTTATAAATTGTGTTTTTTGTTGTCTTTTAGTCCTTTTTACAAAATTATCCTTAATTTTCCTCTCATATTTTTTGACCATTGCACGACAGTTCGGCCCTGGCGATGAGGATGCAGATCCTCGTTCAATACTCCACACACTTCCTTCATATTTCTGAGCTTCACATGCCATAACTTTTTCACCCACCATTTCTAAATATTTATCAATATTTACACTTTTTGCATCATCAAAGTCCCTAAATTTACTTTATTCATCATTTTTTTTTCTTCATATCTTTTATCCGACGTTCCTAAGCCTAAAATGATAAAATAGAAAACAATTACTTTTCTATATAATATTTTCATTTATCTAAAATTTTTCTATATAATGACTTTTTTCATCCACTTTTTTCTCGTTTAAATTTTGCTTTAATATTAGTTTTTTTTCTTGATTATACTTTTCCATCATGTTTTTTTTCTTCTTGTTTTAAATACACCAACGTTTAGAAAATATTGATACAAAAATACTCCTTTCACAATAGTTATGTACTTGATCGCATTGGATAGTTTCTCTGTCTCACATTCAGAAGTGTGTGATAAAACGATCGAAATTATGTCGCGATCCTCAATTCTGCATCCACACCAACAGATGCCGCTGTCATGCTGGATTTTTCGTTCAATTTGTCATTACACATAATTTTTTTTTTACACATTTCCTTTATTTAATTACGCCAGTGTTTGCCTTTTTGTCCTTCGAATCTGTGTGAAAAATATTTCCTTCTACACTACTTTTTAGGTTGCATTTTTTCTCCTCCTGAAATTATAAAACACTCCCTCATCGTCTCAATGGATAGACTTACTTTACTGTACTTATTTCTTAATGGCGCAAAATACATAATTTTGTCATCACTCACATGTATTTTTTTTCTCGAAAAGTCTCTCTTCACACTCACTCTTTCCTAAAATATCTCTAAATTTGTCCTTTTCACACCTCTATATTCTCTAAAGTGTTCCTTTTTTTCTTAGTTTTTTTTTGCCATCATCTTAGTCGCTTTGTCAAAAAATCGCCTTTTTTCTGTGGTAGAAAAGATACTTTTGCGCTGTGTTTCTCAGTCGGGAAGTGAAAGGAAAGGTTAAATATCGAGGTAAGAAATGAAAGGAAGAAAGGAAAAGATCTCCATATCTATCTCTGGTTTCTATCTCTGGTTCTATTTTATCTGATAACGTCACCTGAAGAAAGTTACAAGCCGTAGCCATTTCAGTGAAATGTATTATGGTGTCCAATATGCTTCTTACATTATTGCACAAATATTTACTATGATTTCCTTTTCGTCTAACATGGATTTCTTGCTGTCTTGGTTGGCCTCTCATCGAATCAGGAAGACCGCACAATGTCTGGTTCTATTGCTATTGAACTGAAGGTGTGATTTTGTGGTTACAATTTACATTTTTTTTTCTTCTTTCTTTCATTCTGTAAATGAGCTGACAATATTTGCCAAGAGATTATGTTGTGGTGATTATACAACAAGAACGAAAAGATATTGCACGTCAAATGCCTTTTAAATCTATTTTCTAGCGTGTCATTTCAATTAATTCTATAGTTGGTGAATTAAATTAAAGACAGATTGCGTATAAAAATGTATTTACAATCATTTTGTTAGTAATTGTGGGAGTTGAATTTCTTCTTTTCATTTTGGAGAAATGACTTTTTTTGAAACTGAAAACCGATATTTTCTGCCTGAAAAACGTTTTAGTTACTGCCTAAAAAGACTATTGCATATTGTGGCTCAAAAATGGCTGAAATTAAACAATTGACCTAATCAAACACATTCAAATTGATCGAGAAGATAAAATCACAACTTAGAAAATTGGCATGGGCTTCGACAGTTGGTCAAAGCCAATCTCGCATCATGTGTGTGTTTCCCTTCTCAAGTATATTCATGATTCAGTGGCAAGAAGTGTCAACAAAATTGTACAGTAAATTCATTTCAGTCTAATTCAAAAACCTCTCACGGCTGCAAGAAAAGAAATCTGTATTCTGTCACGTGGCGCGCAGCTCGCGTGCTGACGGCCTAATGTTTGTGTGTTTCGTGTGGTGAGTGTTTCATGTTGCGTGTCTGTTTCACAGTGCTTGTCACAATGTTCTGTCTCACATTTCTTTTTTGAAACTCTTTGTATTCTTCGACTACAAATATTGCGTATGACACTTTTTCTTCTTCGTCTTCTGTTCTGTGGCATGAAAAGTCAAAGACAAAACAGAAAAATCTATAAGCAAATTGACTCAAATGATATTATTTTTCATTGTTTCATTTTTTTTTTTGCTCCTCAAAATTTTACTTGTTTTCCTCTTGTCTCATTAACATAAAACCATTTATAATTGCAATAGTTTACTTTCAATTATTATTTTTTTCTTCACTTGTATTTTAATAATGGTTTAAATATAATAATTAGCTGATATTATAGAGTTTATTATTATTAATAATTATGAATATATTTATGGATTCCTACTGACTAATCATTATATTTATCGTGAAATATTGATTTCGACGCACCGGGTGCATGTCTTCTGGCTCATCTTTCCTTCAAGAATGTCCTCGAAATTTTTTCCTCCTTCGCATGCCAGAGATGCTCTTCGAAAATCCCCTCATCGAACCACCCTCTGTGAGACATGCATCAGACGCTGACTGAAGATTTTCCTTTTGCTCTTTATATAAGACTTATTAGTAACAATATAATTTAGTTTTTTCTTCATCATTTCTTTTTTTCTTTTTAAATATATTCTTAGAGTTTAGAGAGGCATCGAGTTGACTTGATTCTGAGCTCTGCACTTCGTTCATCATCGCGCACTGTCTCTCAATTTATACTCTCTTCAGTGCTGAGTAGAATTGATTCATTTCTTGCTCTTTCTTTCTTTCTGTCTTTTCTTTTTAGATAACTAAACACTACAACAGTGGATCGTACTCAAATAGTTGGATACTTTGGTGGGGCGAGAAGTCTATTAAGGGCCCGTTTTGTATTGTATCTTTAATATTTTTAGTTTTATTATTCATTTTTTCGTAAAAAATCAACATTTTTGAAGGCACTTTAGATCGGACGATGTGGCCCATTACATTTTTAAGTCCATGGTTATTTCACGTGTAATTTTGAATTTTGACTCGAGTGAATGTATTAATTTTTGATTGCCATCTTGCCAAAAAGTTTTTTGTTGACAAAAACATGTTTACCGGTAATGTTGTTGTGGTCTAAACATCATAATAACGCTCGTTTTTTTTTTTAACTTCACCAAAGTTGTAACTTTTTGCATTTTCCACAGTGTCATTTTTTATCAACGTTTTCTTTTTTTGCATTGTGTTTCCTAGTTTTATTGTTTTTTTGATTGCCTTCATTGACTATTGCAAGAACGGATTTGGGTGTGTCAGAGAAATTTGTGGCTATTTCTGTTTTGAGAGCACCCAACTATTTGTGTTCGATCGCAAATGAGTGATGTTGTTGCGTTGCTTGGCACAATCTTCAGTGGTGTCTTAATAGTGTTGAAATAATCTTTCCCTCAACTGTCTAAATAAATACTTCAACTCAATCGTCAACAAGTTAATCAATTCACGGAGGGAGATTTGCTGAAGCAATGGCGATTCTTGGGCTGTTGCGATGTCGGAAGAGATTTTTTTTTATCTTAATTTTTAATGGCACACTTTGCAAGGGTTTTCTCATTGGGAAATGCTTATACTATTTCTCCCTTTAGACGCCGAGATTGTTCGTTGTGCAATCAACAGATCAACATTAAATTGTTTCAATCAAATTGCTGGTGGTTGTTTAACAGTTAATAAACCAATCATTAAGTATCCCATATTTCCATCTGAGATCACTTCTTGCAAGTGCGCTTCTAAGTTCCTCCGGAAAGTCTCTTTTCGTGTCACTATTGCAAAATTTTGATTAGTCATTGTGGCAGAATCTGAGAAGGTCCCCAAAAATCCTTTCTTTTCAGCATCTTTTTCTCCTCTTCCCCACACGTGAACACATGCTAGCCTGCAAATTATACACTCAAGAACTTCAGTTTCCCTATTTCAGATTACAATTGTCGGTTAAACTAACTCAAACCCTGGTGAAAATCAGTTGATAATCCAAACTAAAGCATCATCGCGGTCAAAATTACATAATATTGTGCATGGAGCGTCGAGAAGGAAGCAAGTCGATGCCTAGTTTTCCAACAATTTTACATATACTACATCCCACATTCAAAAGAATTCATAATTTAAGTTTTTTCTTCTTTTAATTATTCTTTATGTAATTTTAATGTAATTCTTCATCTTCTGCTTTAAATATACGTACTAATTCTTTATGTAATGTTGATGCGTTATTTTTAATGATTTTTTTTCCTTTAATTAATAATTGGATTTTTTTTACCAGTTGTAAGAGTTTTTCATGTATTCCATTTTTTCACTATCATCAATTTTTTTTTCTTATCATCTTTCTCAATAATAATTATTACAATTTATTTTCTCAATTGTTTCTTATCATCAATTTTGACACATTCCATATGTGTTGGTTTTTCTCTGTGTGTTTCCTTGTAAATCATGACAACTATGACAGAAGGTTGGATAAAGGACAACTAAGGCGGGGCAATGAAGGTCAGAGCATAAGTTAAAGGCTCATGTGGAAGAATTGTCTGTGTTATCAAGACCCTGCGTGCGCAAGTGGCAAGCAAAGGTCCGCAGTTGATCGAAATGAAGTGTCAATTCACTTACATAAAATCATCCGTACATGACAAAGCATAAACGTTCTGGTGGAATTGAGTTGTGTTACCATTTATTTCTTTTTTTTCTGCTGTAGTTAATTGTATTTTCTTCATTTACTTATTGTTTACTAGTTATTATTTCAATTGCCTTTGCTTCTAAGCTGTTTCTGCTGGTTTTCCTGTGTATTTTGTAGTTTTCTTTTATGGAATGGGGAGTAAATTTGCTGTGGAATGTTTACTTTTTTTGGATATAATTTTTTTTCACTTCAATTTTGAATTTTTATCCGTTGATTAATTTTTTTTCCATTCTGTACTAAGTTAACAAACAAAGTGCATACACGAAAGCAATACATAATGAGTACGTTGACATGAAAAATTGTTACTCGCTGAGAGAATTACAAATGTCACACATTTCCTCTTTCTCTCGTGTGTGTGTGTGTTTTTTTTCTAGCTTAGTGGAAGCAACCTTTTCAGTGTCATCCAACGAAAATATACCTTAAAGTTATCATATACAAAAAAATCAATTTGTTAATCAAAGAAATTCAATAGTGTTCAGTGAATAATTGCATTAATGCAATTGAAATTTCTTTCTCATGGAAAATTTTGAATTTTGACGCATGAATTTTGATGTGATTTTTTTTATCTGTAATGTGAAAATGCTGTCTTAGGTAGAATTTCATTCATTCTTTTACAAATGACCCGAAAAACTATATCGTAAAAATTGTGAGAAATGTATGTTTTTTTTCACCATTTTAGTGTTGATTTAAAGTTAATTTTTTCTTTCTTTTACGTTTCTATACAGCAAATCATCACACTAGTAGGACTTATTACTTTTTATTTAATTTTTTTGTATATAAGAAAATATAATTTAAGGCAGATTTTGGTAAAAATTACACACAATTTCATACTTTTGCTCAAAATTTTTTAATTACCTTTAATTAATTACTTGTTTTTCATTTTTTGTTAATTTTAAATTTAATTTTAAAGATAAGGCGCGAAGGTGCTTCAAATAAGCTTGTACTTTTTTCGTGATATTTTCTATATACGTTTTTCTTTCATTTCATTTTTCCTTTATTTTAATTTAATCTTTTAGTATTTTGCCTTTGTTTTCTTTCACATTTTTTTTCGCCGTTTGTGAGTTCTCAAAAAGGTTTTTTTTTTGCTCAGGACTTTCTGTGTTGTCATTTTTAGTCACATTTTTCTTGATATTTTCAACTTTTGACCGGGAATCCGAAACATTGCCGAGAACGATTGTTGAACAGAAGGATCTTGTTTGCCAAAAATTAACATCCATTGTCCTGTAAATGATCAAAAGCCTCTTCTTTACAAAATTGATTCCAAATCATTTCCCTAAGTGATGCTGTACCGATCTATTTTTCTTGCTCTATTTGCTTCAGTTTCTGTTGTTGTTGTTGTTGTGAGTGGTTGTATCGCCCAAAAATCGGTACATTCAATCTTATTGTGTGATTTAGAATTTTGTTCTATATTTTCATTACTATCTTTTCTTTCTTTCTTACGTTTTTTTTATCTTTTGGAAAAATCTGCAGATATGTTGTCGGTCCAGAGTGAAATTCACATAGAAAATCATACAATGAACTTGTTTGTCAGCACCCTTATAGAAATAATAAGGAATATACGCGTGGTTTATTTCCAGAAATATTTAATCAACTATCATGTTCATCTCTTTAACTAACATCACCTCAAAGAGCCGCCTGATAATGTGTGTATTATGGAAAATATAAATTAGTCCAGACATTTTATATCTTATATATATATCGAAAAACCTCAAAATACATATTAGTTCCATTTTCCAGAAATAAATCTTGTTTTATTGAGTTATTACCATGGTAAAGCCAAAAAGTCCGGTAAATTGTTTATTTACATGATCCACATGTTTTTGCAAATTGTGTTTAAATTCAAATCATTGTGTTGACAACTGAGAATCTCTAAACATAATATATCATTTCTGACAAATCAACATTTTGATTGTGATTAAGATAACTCATCAGTGACATACGAAATCTTGGAGATTGTAGTGTCATTACATCTTATGGTTCATCTATTCGAAATTAATGCTCATCATCGACTGACGAAAAGTAAAATAAAGTGTTCTCACCAACATCCTTTGTGGTCAGATGGGATATTTTTTTATTACCTTTCCTTGATTTGTTCCTTAAATTGTCACCCAACATTTTGACATCCACTTGTGCATCCACGAAAGATGGGCAAATCCCAAGGGGTTTAGCCCCGATATTTTACTCCCCTTTCTGGCTGCCACAAGCCTCCCCCTCTCTCATACACATTCCTATGCTGTTGGTCACTGTTTGCAATGTACTTCAAAAATGGTATCTACAAATCTGCCCCGAATGTCAATTGGCGATTCTTTCACTTCATGGTTCTCCATCGGAATCTCATCGTTCTTCTCATGTCTCATTAAATGCTAACACATATCTTCTCTGTCTGTCTCTTCTCTTCGGGTGTCAAATTCTACAAACTACAAACTTATCAACTTTGGAATAATATCAATACACCTCGTCAGACGGGCTGATGATCTCTCAAATTTGTCATCAATGCAAAATTATTTATCATGTTTAAATTGAAATTACATACAATATCTCCTAATTCACAGTGGAATATTGGTTCTCTAACCAACATCAACTACCTGAGAAAAGACATATCCCTTCTCTTTTGGAGTCATTGTTTCCTCTTCCTTAATTCTCGGAATATTTTTCTCTCCAGTTTATCAAGAAATCAAATGGATTCTCATCTAAATTGAAAATGTCTTGATGTCATGTGTCTCTGTGTAGTGTTGTGTAATGTATTACGTGTCCATTATGTGTTTTACATATTTAATGATAGATACTATGAATACGCTTTTCCTTTAGTTTTATAATACATTCGATTTTTTTTTCTTTTTGAAATATAATGGTCAAGCATTAATGCATCTTCCAACGTGCCGAGATGAATTCTCACGCACGACTGATTCAAATATCAAGCTGGTGGTTTCATTTGATCAGTCAAATACATTGTTTTCCCTTAAGTTTATCCAAAGTGCTTCTAGAACAATCGAGAAATATCTTTTTTTTTTGTTTGCTTCATGATCTGTTCATGTTATAACTCCTTACTGTTTATGAGTGAAACTGAAAAATCACAATTACTATCAACAAATCAGATTACATACTTCTGCACTCTAATGCGTAATTACTGGGTCATCGTAGCGTCGCATGCACTATTCAGGACTGGCGCCCAGAATTGGGGACATTACGACGTTAGTAATTGCTTCTGGTGGTGATGCTATGATTTGAATAAGAACCAAGGCTTGGATACATAAAACACAAAACGGAAATTGAATGAAAATGCTCACTTCAAGCGCGAATTGTTAATATTCGTAATGAGTTTTTGACAATTTTTCAAAATGTCCTCTTTTTTTGCCTTGCCTCTCAAAAATACTTATTCGAATTTTGGGCTTCCGGAGATGTTAAATCTGTTTTTCCTTTTTCCTTATACAATTTTGCATGGTTTTTTTTTAGTGGCGCGTCCAGCGTCAAATTCACTTTTTTTTGCTGCTCATCTCAATAACACCTTGTTCTGTTTTTTTTTTTTACCTCAACTATTATGAATATCATTCATGAGATGAAATACACTCAGCCTACACTTGCTATCATCATCTTACAATAATACATTTAAATGATTTTATTTTTCTTTGTTTATCGAGACGGTTATTATACTGCAATTGACAATTGAAAATGCCGTGCTTTTCAATTGATCGACGAATGTCTTCGGTGGTCCTCCGTGGAAATCACAGCGGAGAGGTTTTTTTTCATGCTTATGTTCTGTGAGTCAATTTCCACGAAAGTTTTTATACTGGCTTTTACCCCATTTAGGTCTGTCTTCTGTGGCAAATTATCTTCAGCACTAGAGATCACGAATTTCATGTACATCTGAGATGCTCCCGGTTTTTTTTTTATTTTTCGACACTTTCTCGCGGATTTACTGTCAGATTAGCGTAAACATTTAAGCCTAGTGAAACTGTTTCTGCACACTCTCCGCATTTTGCACTGGTAGAGTAGCATTTTCTTCATCGATAAAATGTTGTGATGGTAACGCGAAAGTAAACGAAAGAGATGTTGTTAATACAGAACCTAAGATGTTACGTTAACAGAAGATGTTATCAGTTGAGCAAATATTTGATTCTATTTTGGGTTCTTCTATCCATTATAAGTTGAAATCTCCTCATATAATCACTATCCTTTGTTCTATTGCAAATTAAAATATATATATATATATACTCTATATCTTCTTAAATGGTAATATTATGTTGTTGTCTTGTTCTTTAAACCTTTATATTAAAAATTACTTACTTAGATTACTATTTCACCATTTCTATTTCATTTATTTAGTTTGCTGTATTTTTCAATAAAAAACTTGTTCTGGCACTATTGTCAAAATAAAGATGAGTTTATTTCATTTGGTTTCCCTCTGTTTATCCATCATTAAAAATTATTCAAGTGGATGTATTCAACAATTAATTACTGCTCTGAAAAATGAAGAACATGTATTTCTCTTATATTTACTAATACTTCACCCTCTTTTTACACATGATAATTATCCTAGAGAATTTTTCATCTGCCTCGGAATGTTGGGTTTTTCTTCTTTTCTCTCTTTTTTTTAAATGGTTATGATAGGGTTTTGAAAAGGTGGTTGGATTTTCACAATTATTCACTAAAAAGTTTCTTTTTTATCTGAATCTTCCTTCATGGCTTGTTATCGTACTGTATATTTATATTACTTTTGTTGCTTGTTTTTTTTTAGAAAATTATTCAATAAGTTGTACTTTTAATTGCTCAAATTATTATTGTTGTATTAATGGTGAACATAATTAGAAGTTTTGCAGGGTGATTTGGCAGTTTAGTGGCTTCTATTGAAAGATATTTGAACATTTTTTTTATTGATAAAATGCAAATCAAAGTGTTGGAAATTAGGGAGTTAAATTCACATTTGAATGATGAATATTGGAGCTATTGTTTTGTTTAGCTAAACAATTTATTACACTTTGTTTTGCCCATGAAAACCGCCCCTTGATAGGTGAAGATCAATTATGGGCGGCGCTTCAGAAGGACACGGCCAAATAATTTGTTCTGCTGAGCTGCTCAAAACAACTGCTTTTTGAAATGAATCAATTAAACTTGTTGCAGTTTTGATATTTAAAAAGAAAATCGGTTAAGAGTAAAGAATGAGGCAAAGTAATCGTGGAATTGAACATTGCTAATCACCCTGCGTCCAGTTGTATCGTAGTTCAATGCTTCAGTTGGCACTGGGATAGGCTGTCCGGCGCGTAAATTCGAGTAAGTTATTGGGATGTGAAGATGGGTGTAATGTCGCCGGACGAGCCATCGCCAAGGGCGCCTCACTGCGGCATCTTGCTTACATGCTATTGCAAATGAATTGGCTGGTGAGAATTGTAAATAAACCCGGTGTGGATGTGACAGAAAACTGTCAATCCACGACTATTGTTATGTTTTGTATACATATATAAATATTTGTCATTTTGTTCTGTTCCATAAATATTTATATATCCCCGAAAAATATCCCAAAACAAGACACACTTAAATTGTTTTCCATTTTGACATGTATATAAATATAATATACAATATCATTGGTAAATTGCTGATCTTCCTAATGCCGTGGCTTTTTTTTTCTTTACCCATTTCGCAAATTACTGCTCGCCGTGTTTGATTTTCAGATCTCTTTCGATTTGTTGTTGGTTGGTTTTAATAAAAATGTTGAAATGAATGGTCACATCTTTTGCTCGCTCCTACATTTGATCCATGTCATCTCAGTTATACTGTAATCTTCCTTCCGACAGCGAATATTCGCGGTAAATGTAAAAGTCATTATTAATTAATATTTTTAATTCCAAGTATATGTATATAATCTATATTTATACTTTATAATATCTGATCACATTTATTGCAGTCTGTGGTAATTTGTTGATTTAATGTTTTTTTTTATTTACTTTTTCTCTATTTCTTACTTTTCTGATTTTATGTAGGTTTTTGTCTTAAAGTTTCGTTTTTTTTTTAATGTCTATTACGCTTGTGTTTTTTTTTCTTGGCTTATATCACGTATTACGGTCCTATTAAAAATATACGCACGACTGGAAATCGTCTGTTGCATCAAATGAGGATGTTTAATTTATCTACAAAAAACACTTGTTGTAAAAAATGCCTATTATACTTCATCTGCCCTTTTACTGCTCTCATCTCACGTTTAAATGCTTTGTGTAACCAATTTTTATATTCTGTTTCATCCTTATTACAATTAAAAAACCATATTTCTTGGTGTGTCTGCCAATTGTGCTCTTCAATGTATCTACAAATTCTTGACGACGACACCGCGAAGGTATTTTGATAAATCGATTAAGCTGTAGTCAATTGGTTTTAAATTCTTGACTGTTCTTTTCCCACTTGGTATTTTTTATTATAAAGACTTTGTATAAAAATATAAATAGTTTTATTAATTGGTTTCTGTGTTTTTTTTTTTTTAAATGTTGTTTCTCATCATTTCTTATTGAGTTGTACTATAAATTATCCCGGTTTCTGCGGACTTCACAGTCCGCTCACTATTGCAAATTAAAAAATTTTCATTATGATTGATTAACTATTTTTACCATGTAATATTTTCATCTTTTCATAGTTACACAATCACATTTAGGTTTGTGGACAGAGTCGCAACTCTGTCCTCATTGCATTTGATTGGAAACTTGGTTGTTGAGCTTTATGTTGTTTTAGCATTTCACTTGATGTAAATGATTTGCCTTGATTTGACAAGTTAATTTTCTGCTGGTGTTTCACTTCGCTTTCCGCATATTTTGTCCCTACGGTGTGAGTAAAAATTAACTGCTTGATTTGCATTATTTGGTGGTTGTGGAAACGAAAAAAGTCCTTCCGCGCACCCTACAGGGGGCCCCCTAGTGCCCCTAAATGGCCAGGATGATTCGCCCAAAACCATCGCTCGCCACGTTGCAAAATCCACCCCCCGCGAGAGCGCGATTCATTCGCTATTGTAACTAAAAAATATATTATCATAAATTCTGGTTATTTCACTATTATCTGCGCGACTTGGCGACGCCTCAGCGACGCCTCTACGACTTTGATAACGAGTTGCTGTTCCTTCCGCTGTCGTATCTGTGTAAGCTTCTGCCTATTCTTGTTACACAATATCGGTATATTTTTATTCTCCTTCAATTTTCCCCTTTTGAAACTTTATGTGGCAACGGCGAGTCCCGCAGGACTCGCCCCCGAATGGCCTCTATTGTAGCCTTCCGTCTTGAGATCTCATTATTGCATTTTGGTACATTTTGTCCAAGTGTACAGATTCTGCTGTTAATATATATCAACAAATTTTGAATTTCCTGTAGACTCGATCGCTGCAACTTGAGATCATGCTCGTCAATGCAAATGAGGATGGCGTAAGTGGTAAAATAATGACTTTGTGGTAATATGTTTTCACATTTTTTGGTCACCTTTGAGTGTGTTCGGATCACTGGTGCTTCAGTGATCTTGTATACAAACTTAATCCGGTTCGCGAGACTGGCTCGCGATTGCTATTGTTGACATAATTGGTTGTAGTTTTGCTTTTATTAAGTATATTGTGGAAACGAAAAGCCGTCAAAAACCCCCTGAAATGTTGTGTTGTAATCCCAAAACGCGTCATCATGACCGAAAGTCTGCTTAATGTAAACTAAACCCTTTCTCTCCGCTCATCTATTTCAAATCAATCACTATATTTGCTGTGTTAAGTGCCGCATAGAAGAAACATGATTGGCATTCTATATTGCCCATCAAGTTCTACATTTCATTGATCTTTTTTTTTGGAATTTTGTGATCAGATTTTTTTTCGTATAATTTTCTGCAATATTTAGAATTTACCTTAATTTTCACAGTAACTAAAAGATTAATCCTTTTTACATCTACTTTGTTTTAATTTACTTGGTATGTGTCTTCATATTCATCTGCAAACATTCCGACTGTCTGGAACGCAAAGCCAAAAGTTTACTGCAAGACTGAATGATGATATATATTTTCTTATTAAATCCTTCCCTCACTAGAATTCCTCTCTGTCTTTGGAAGTTCGCTGTTGAAGTTGTTTTCTTTTTTTTTTAATTCATCTATGTTTATTTGCATCGTCTCAATAAATATCATTTTACACTTTTTCACCCACTATAAGTGCAAATTGGTGCGAAACAGTTTCACTTGTGATTCATATTTTCTTTTTGCCCTTGAGGTTATTTGCCAGAAGTTGTCCAGGAGTTTGTAATCGGGTCGATGATCTCATGTGGGGAAATTCTGTGATCTTTAGTGACTTACTTTGGGGAGTTTTAATTAGAGTTTCATGTAAAACTGAGAGAGTTTTACCCTGGCTATTGTTTTCCATTGGTTTGTCTGGTTAGAAATTCATACACAATTAATTCATTTTACTGCTTTCAGTTCCAATACATCCATAAATCGGTTAAATTACACTGTCTCTAGTGATTTTTTTTTGGTAAATCTCCTGTTATTAATTGGGTTTTGTCTCTTCATTTCAAAATCTGTGACTATTGCATTTTGTGGTTTCTTCATCTGGTTTACTTCATTGTTACCTGTTTGAGAATCTATTTACCGTCAAAATGTTTTTCATACCATATATTCAAAAAGTCTCACTTAAATTGTTGTCTATCGGTGTAAACTGCATCGCGACATCCTTTCTTTACACAACACTTACTTTACGAAAAATTACAAATTATTCAATTACACTCCGTGACTACATTATAACGTCACTACAACTGATTCTACGGTTCATTTTTTGGCATTATTCCTCTGGGGCCTCTGCGTTAAGTTTGTCATTCCGCCCAGTTCTCATCCTCATTAATGCTAAGAATCTGGGTAAAATCTACGCTGAATATTTCTACAATTAGTTTGATAAAAGTACGTGCATTAATTTAGGACTTCAAGGATCGATCCAGGAATTTTGAGGTGTACTTTGGTATTGATAAATCAGAAATAAATCAAATTATATACTTACTCCTTGGAAGGACAAACAAAACAAACCAAAAGATATCCCGGAGGGACACAAACAGAAAGAAGAACAACCAAAAGTGTACAAATGCCGAGTTTTTACCGAAAAAAAGTGGGTTCTCAAGTCGTTAGCCAAACATCTCTACCAAAAATTGAGCGAGAAAAGCCTTCAATTTGGCGATTCTCAGTAATTTTTTTTTTCCTTCCTCTTATCACAAAATTCAGTTACATTGTCAGTATTTTTTTTCATAATTTTTATCTTGTTTTTATTCATTTTAAATTTTGAAGGCATGTCTTTTCTATTTTCTAAATAAAATTAACTCTCATGTCAATAGTTAATTGATAAATAATAATAGTCAATAATTGTCATAATCTTCTCATATCAATAATTAATTACATAAAATTATCAATAATAGCTACAATCCAAAGATTCTTTGTACATTTTAAAATAAAGTTTGCTAATTTATTTAATTTTTCACCTCTCTTTCTCTCTTTTTTGGTAAAATTAGTGTGTGAAATTGATTTTTTTTGTAGCCCTTAAATCCTTATATATTAAATATTTCTGTGTTATCTTCAAGTTTTGAGACTTCTTCTCATCCTTTTCATCATTTCTTTTGTTTATCTTTTTAATTATACAAGACTAGGAAACTCACCGTTTGCCACTTTGAGGCTGTGTATGACTCAGTGGCAAGAACCTCAAGTGTATTGATTCTTCTTTTAAAAATAGTTTTCAAGGACTCTTTGCTGTCTTTTAACCGCAATGTTCGTTAATCAGCCTGGTTAATCGCTAGTCTTTAAATTAAATGCGGACTTTAATTTATACGTTATCTCTAGTGTTACTTTTAGGCTTTGAAAAGGTAAGAAGATAAGGGGAAGATTTTATCGAAAAGAAAAATAAAATGAATATTTACAAATCATCTCAAATGTCATCAGAATACTTAGAGTGATCATCACACTCTAGCAGATCTTCTGATCTATACATATAGCATTTTAAACTAATTTTGTCACTCAATGTAAGAAGATACAAAAAAAGAAGAGTCTAGAGACGCAATTATCAAAATATATATATAAACAGAATTAATTCAACAACACATTGTTAGTCCCAAAAAGCAACAACATGAAGTGCAATTAATTCCAAGACTAGTCTTTTGCTATCATACCTTTGGTGTGTATAAAGTAAAATAAATCTTGTCTGTATATTACAGGTTTTAAATAAAAAATATATTGAAACTATCTATACGATTATATTAATGGTATTTTTTTCTTCATATTATTATAATTACTTCCATGCTCATTATTGATTTCATTCATTTATACTCGTTTTACATATAATCGCCTGGTTTTCTTTTACTCAAATTTTCACCACTGTCTTTTATTACTCGAAATACTGATGGACACGACTATTTACAGTATAAATATTATCTTTAATTTTTTTACCTCTTTACACAACTTTATGGTAGTTTAGTGGCAGTTTTTCGGTGGTGGGGTGATTGGCGGAGTTTTTTTTTCTCTGGCTTTCAGCACTCCTCTTTGATATGCGCTTTCGGCCAATGACCCACCCACTGATGTACTAACTATACAATTACATCGTATTTTATGCAAATATTGTAGACATTGGCATTATTACAAATATGTTGTTTTCCTTATCAATCTTATACAGTTTGGAATCGGTTGCATTTGACTTGATACACTACATGGAATGCACATTGTGCTGAGCTGTAGTTTTATGGAGTCGAAATCAACCGACAGTAACATAAAACGCCAGCGTAGCTTTTCGCCATTCATTGATGCACACACGCGCTCAATAAATGGATGGTTAGAATGAGAGAAATAAATCAATACATATGCCTTGGTATTCCCCCATTTTTGTCCTCCTCACTCAATACTTCTTTTTCTCCAAGAAAATTCATGAAAATGTACAAAAGAAATGGCTTTTTTCCCCCTCTTTACTACATTGTTGATAAATTGCTACTTTGTGGTACAAGATTTCTCAGCTTTTCGCTTTTTGTTCTACATTTTTTTTTTTGGTTATCATTCTGTTGAAAAGAAATGTTGCTGCTGCAATACAGTTTACACGTGACACAATCATTTGGTTGATATCCTGATGACTATTTAGTTGTTTGTTCCGCTTTGAATGGCGGAACAGTTTCGGCTATAAGTTAGACAAATTATTCTGTGTGGTTTTATACATTTATATCTCTTCGGTTGTCCTGTTCAAAATCTGTTGTATTCAGTTTGATGTTGTTCGGTTGTGGTCGAAAATGAAAGAAATTATCGCTATTCTGTGGCTGCTTGGGTTTGCTGTCATTTGATCCTATTGTTGATGCTTATATCGTTTCGGGAGCTCCTGGTTTATTGCTTGTGGTTTGCGGTTGACGACGTGGTTGAGATTTTTCTGGTTGTCAGAGTCCAAAAGAAAACTCAATTTTTTCCTGCTTTCTTCTTCATTCAAAAAACATTTTGCCCAGTAGTTGATTTTTCATTTTTTTTTTTGGTTTCTTATCAAAAAGGTTTTCAGTAGTCCTCAAACATTCCTTAACATTGTTGAAATTTTTTCCATCTTTTGTTACTTTTTGACTAAAAATTTTGGTTAATAATTTTCTCTGTTTCTTTTTTCACTTCTCTTTTTTTTCTTCCTTTAATTTAGATTAATTTTATTTACTTTTTAATATTATTTCACTTTTCATTTTTTCATCTTCTTTTTTTGAAATGAAGGCCTAAACGCGAGTATATCGTCGATAATAATTGCAGTCGCTTGTTATTTGGACGTAAGCACACTACATTTATAGGAACCACAAAAGTTGTTATATGTATCTTTTATTCTCTTTGTTCTTTCCTCTTTCCTCATTTTTCTTCTTTTTTTTCACTATAAACGATTCTCCATGTTTTTTTTTGTATTCTCAATAAATTTGTATTAATTTCAATTAATCGATAAATTTGCATAATACTTCATTTAGATTCTTTTCTCTTCATCTTAAAATAAACTCTGTAAGCTACTTCCTCAAATTCATACCATTAAATTTCATTTTAGTCGGATCTTAAATTAATTCAGATTTCACATTATTCATCTTTTTTGTGTTTTTTTTTTGGTTAAGAAAGTCTCTCTCTTCACTTTGAAGAACATAAAGATAATGTTTTTTTTTTGTTGTTCGCTTCTTCAATCAATCTTCCTACTCAAGTTGTTCCAGAAAGTTGGGAGTCTTAAAGTACTCCGGTACAGGATCATCCAGTCGCGATATAATCTTGTATATCGACTTCTTCCACGATTGTTCTGTATCTTTGCCACCTTGAATTGCTTTGAAAAACTCACGAAGAGTCTGCTCCACGACATATCGGAAGTTCGAGGGCACCTAGACGACGGGGAAAGACAGCAAAGTCCATCAGTCAAGTGTGACTCTCTTTGGGGCGGCGAAAGTCATTGGGTGTCAAATGAATTATCACTAACACAACGGACGATTATACGAAATAAATGCCATTCCAAATTATTCACACCATCATCAACTATGGTTAGTCATTGATTTAGAGGAGCACCTATTTGTATGTTTGTACAAAGAAGCGCACCTGATCACGGCATACCTCTATGTGGTTATTCCGATTGTAGTGCAGATTGAGGACCCGATAGATTTCGCTATCGCCGCTCACGTGCAGATCATCTGCACTCTTCACTCCTTCGCTGACAGCTTGACGTGCATACTTCTCCATCTGAATGTAATAAAACTCCCTGCAAGAGTCAAGACGCAGGCCGATTAGTGCCAGGAATGCCATTGACACAGACCCACATTGCACGCCCGCCGAGCGCACAGGCTCAATTCACTGCTATATAGTGTGGGGGAGGGCAGGGGGTGGGGGCCGGAGTGTGTGGTTAATAATGCAAATTTTAGAGAGAGAGTACAATGACCCAAATTAAATAATGTTTCACTTTCGATTACCCCAAACCCAAGTGAAAATGCAACAATGTATGAACTTCATAAGCCGCTCCTATATTGGGTGAAATTGATCCATTTATACCAAGTTCTGATAGTTTGTCAGCGTCGGTAAATTGCGATAATCAATACAGGATGTTGCAAAATGCTCCACAACTTCACACTCTCCGTTCGCATTGTAATTGTGAAGCAATCGCAAGTCAGTTTTACAATCATTCCAACGTATAAAGATCAGAAAGTCTTGAAATTAGCCTAAATCTACCGAATTTCGACTCCTTTTCAGCATATTGTGGCATAATTTCAAGCTTTTCGATCGTCACAAATTCAAGAATATATTGTTTTCAGAGTCCAAATAAATTTGCACTCATTGCAGCTTGATAAAATGCATTAAAAGAAACTCTTCTTAAATGACGAGACTGCTTAACATCATGTGTTATTCGTCGCGCTGCTCTCCTAACAAATTGGCTGTGGCAAATTGCAGCGGGTGCTCAATTCTTGAGCAATTGTTGCAATGCCTAATGAATAAAGCGTTGATAATAATTTAATATGAGTGCCACAAATCGGCCAAGAAGAGTTTGATTGCCTCGTCAAAGTGACCACCCGCGGCAAGAGACTCGCACGGCGGCGTAATTTAGTATTCTTCAAACTATACAGTCTCTCACACCCACTCGAGATCCACACTACTTGCACTCAAGTTGAGTGCTCAGTTTAGTGTGAAGGCGGCGGAAGAAAAAAGCCGTAATGTCATAACAACATTCACACTCTGCACGGATTTCCTTGGTGTGTGAGTGAAAAATAAGAGGCACTTTTCACACTTTTCATCCCATGACACGAGCCTGGATGGGGTGTTGTTCCTGGGATGCCGGCTGAATGTGTGTCACATGTGGGTGAAGGGTGGCGAGCCCTCGGGAGGAGAGCTTGTGTGGTGAAAGAAAAAAATTGGCACAAGGTAGAGAAAAACACACACACACGCGCGCGCTCTCTGTGACAATAAACTGCGACACCCGGTGGATTTCCTGAGTGAATCATTCCTAGAATTTTCACCCTCGCGCGCGCACTTTCTTGGAAAATGCCCTAAGACATTTTCACCTGATTAAGGCGCCTGCGAAAGATTATGGCTCTCTAACTATTCTGTGAATTGATTAACTATTTAACAAATGGGGTTTAGGCATAGTTTATCGTGTGGTTGAGGTCAAATTCTGGGAATTAATTGAAAAAGTATAAAGTTGTTAGAAACCAAGCTATTGGTCTCTTCGAGCTGGGGCAACAAGATATGGCAATTAAGTGAGAAACACTCTGAGACGCTAGAGTGTGTCTACTCTAGCTAGAGCACCTTCTGTGTGCTGCATATGCTTCACGGTTCAATTGCTAATAAGGTGAAAGTGCGGAGAATTTTTTCATCCTCTCCTCTTCCTCAATTCACATATGAGAAAATATCCGTCTGTATGGAAACTTTATTGTTGCCATTTGTAAAATTGACTACACGAGGCACGGGGGGAAAGCGTGGAAATTTCGCGCAGCATGAAAGGCAGAGGATGTGTGCTTTTGAAACTTTATGTCGCTGATTGAGAGGGAAAAAAAGGCGCACACACACAACCGCTATAATTAACAAAGTGCTTAACAAAAGCCCATCAGAGAGCAGCAGAGACAGGCGGATTGCACGCAAAAAAAAGGGTGAAAGAGGAGAAAATATCATCTTTTATTGGTGGCAATTCACTTTGACTTGAATGCGCGCAATTCTTCAGCCAGCGCACACTTTTCACGCGACATAGTTTTTTGAATATGTCGGTTTATACGGAAAAAGTTGATTAATTAACGCCATCCCAAGTGTGACACATGTGAGAAAATGCCAATTATATTGTTGATAAACAACACGAGAAAAGTGCATCTATTGGAGGACTTTTCATGCTCCTCCACTTTGTGTGCCAGGCATCGTGAAAAGAATGTGCAAAAGAGGCAATTCGCGAAGGATTCACATGGCAAAATTACACGCATTCAAGCCTCCTCGTCGTCGCGATTGAAATCAGCACTTGAGGCAAGAGAGAGAGGCAATGAAGTATTTATCCAGTCATCCGGCGGCTTATCACGCCATCTCGCTATAGTTTTCCGCGGGATGCAATTAACACTGTGCAAAGCAAGCCGCGGGAACACCACTTTCTCACCGTCTCGTAACGGTTTTCCTCCTCTCAAGATGAGGGTATAATCGAAAGCGCGTCAAATCTTCCTCCGAGCCGCCAAGAAAACCTTCCCCTGTAACGGTCTTTTCTTTTCATCATCCCAAGTCACCAAGATTCCTTCGCACACACACCGTGCATTTAAAGAACCCCTCAATTTCGACGCATTGTTCGGAAGGTTTTGCACCTTTTCTCCGCACTCAACTTGTTTGGCATTCTCAGGGTGCCTCGTCTTCCAAGACAACATTTATTCCACAGCGAGCAGCAAGGCAGTCCCTTTAAATCTCACGTGAAGCATTGAATTTATGAGCGTGTGAGAAGATGATAGGGTTTGAGAACCGGTGACAAGAAGCACACGAGTAACTTCTTCGCCTCACATTCCCAACCCTCGAGAAGCCGCCAAATCAAGAGTTAAAGAAAACGCCCAGAGATTTCTGCCCGCAGATATGCGATCGCATAATGACCAGTTTATATTACTTTACAGGAGAAATCTGTGCTCAAAGGGATGCAAGGAACGAATATTTCTCTGTGTGACTGAGAAAGAAGAGAGAGAGTAGGAAAAGTCTTGGAAATCCCTTTTCACACTCTTATTTCAAACAAAATATTCTTCAATTTATATGTTCAAGCCATAATAAAACAACTTCGCTTGTGTGGCGTTTTGTATTCTATCGATTTTTCTGTTCTCTGACGCTTCGATTGAAGATTAAATCAACTGTCTGAGATTTCAGAGGGTGTCACACGATTGTCTCTCATTGCAACCCCTGGACAACTCACCCTTCCTCCAATACATCGCCATTGTGCCTTTTGTCGTGCCGCAACGAACAATAGGCCCAGGATTTGCAAATACTAACGAGGACGAGAGGAACTGAGGAGAGATTTCAATGACTTATACTTTTGCTGGCGATGTGAGAAATATATTTCTCTGTCATGTCTCGATGGAAGGATTAAGTCAGATCCCGAGAGGTTCACAAATATTTTCAGCTAATTGGAAACCCAAGTGTTAATTTTGCCACCAAAGGAGGCGCAAAAGCCCCCAAGAAAAGAGGTGAGAAATGCAAATGGAATGTGTGTCAGGTCAATAGACTCATATACACATGAGTCATGGCACAGAACCTCTTTTTTTACCCGGCCTCTCGGCTCACCACCTAAGCAATATGGGCGCTTGTGGAAAATTATGCATTGAGGAGGTGGCTTGTGGAAATCTGCGGGTAATTAGCAAAGTAAATGGCCTTTTCAAGAAGCGCGCCATGCAAAGTGTGGCACTTTTCTTCGATAGAAAATGCACACACAACACGGAGAACCGCATTTTGTGCACACAAAGTGTAGGTCGGAAAGAAAAACACGAACATTATTGTTATCCCTTAAAAATTACACCCTCCCCCTCCCCACCCTCCCCACGAGAGTCTCCCTCAGCGCCAAAGTGTTTGAGCGCGATGCAAATTCTTTGGGATTTCGCGTGTTGAGCCGGAACAAAGCGAGCGAAGGGGGTGGAAAAGGGTTTGATGCGTCAACACAAAAATAGCCATTTCCTTCATTCTAATTAGCGTTAATACCTTAATTAAGTATTTTTTAATTAAGCCCTTAAACTTTCTTTTGACGAGTAACCAACAGCGATAGCAGGAATTGTGACTGAGGACTCTCTTTTTCTCTGACTTTTCTCGTGGACTTTTTCAACACGACAGAAGAACAAAAACACTTTAATTAGGTAATTAAATAATCCCACCGAAGAATTCCGGGTGCATGGCATTGTTTTAGGGCCCGAAGCCCGAGGTGAAAGTCACTCTCTCGCTCGCTCTGTCTCTGGCTTGAGTGTGAAAGTAGCGCAATTGTGGGGTGGCAAAAGTGGGGTGAGCGCGCTCGACTTGCATGTCGGAAGTTAGCTATTTCCTTCAGTGACGCCTTCTGAGGAAACCCCCAAAATCATCCCCTTTCTGATTGGCGGCGGCACGCGACGAGGGAATCCAACTCTCAAATAAGCTCTCACGTGCGCGCGGGTGCTTTTTTCCTACACTCTAATCTCGATCCGAATCTCGTGATAACGATAGTATTGGATTACTTTGGCTCTGCTTTTTTCTCACCAAATTTACTGGAAAAATGGGAAAAACTATGTGTTTTTGGAGTGATCTCAGTGAGAATCTTCTCATAAACATACACAAAATAATATTCATCAACAATTATAGTTTCCTCTTAAGATTAGTTTCAGTAGAAATTACAACAATTCGAAAGAACACATGAAATATGATTAATTTTGAGGATCAATAGTGAAAAGGTAAATTTTTCAATAACTTTCAAGTCTTAATTCTCACTAAGAATGACGATATTTTTGATTGCATTTTCCAGGGCATTTTTCTAATTCTTCTCCAAATGTTTGTACATTTTCCCCCAAACGTAGAAACCCCGTAATGCTCTCTCATCACCCAAATCGAGACATTCCGGCCACCCTTCGATTTTCTCAAGCCATCCACCCTTCGAGCATGATCCATCCAACTAATTGTGATTTGTGCGATTGATAAGGAAAGCGCCGGACATGCTGCCCCCTCCTCCCCCTCCCGCTCCCGCCAACCACGCGTAATGACAGTCAAATGGACTCACCTGAAGTTGGAGAACCATTTCACGAGTTGAGCAGTATTGTTCTTGTTGAACTTGATGTCCGGGAAGTACATTTTCAGGACAGCCGAACTGGGATATCTCACCCAGAAGAACATCAATTTCGCCTTCCGCAGGTGCATGGGTGTTAATGTTGACGAGTGCACAGTGGTTAAGGTATTATTGCTGTGAGATTTTGCATAAAACATGGCATATAAAATCAATTCAGTCGATAAGAGAGTTGGATTGCATTTTCTTTCACTGAAATGCAATCCATCTCCAATCGATTGTCTTCACATTGGCAATCCGTCTGGTGAATTTGATATTGTATGGCTTCCACGTCGGAAAGACAGTGTGGCGAATCTTTATAAGTTGAAGATTAGGGGTGGAATCGTGGGGCGTGGGAGGGGCTGAAGGGTAAATTAGGGTTGATATTATTATTAGATTAGAGGAAAGTGGCGGAGCGTGTGTATTTCCCCGGGTGAGGTGTTAAAAAAGTCAACCCCTTTCCGGTGCTATTATCGTAATTGTGTCTTTTAATCAAGACCAACTCCAAGTCCACCCTCGAGGACAGACTCTAGTGCAGCCTTGTGGGATTGAAATATGAATGGGATGGCCAAGTAAAGTGTCAAATCAATTATTCAAGATGCCGCCTAATTGCTCCACGCTCACTTCTTCAAGCATGAAGAAATTATGACACTTCCTCCAGTCAATGTGGTCCAATCGATATGTGCGGCATTCTTTCCCGGAGGTCCGGGGCGAATTCAGCGGGATGAAAGACTCGGGGCGATGAATTATTGACAACTTGGGGTGCCAAGCAGCTTTGTGACGCGGCGCAACACTTGGGGAAATTCCCACACAATTCACCGCGCGGATATAAGACATTTCGTGGGAATTGAAGAAATTCGCAAAGCCACGGAATGGATGGGTTAATAAGTAAAGGGCTGGAGAGACAGAGTGGGGAATTATGGTCACAGGGCAACTTTGCAGATTTGCATGCAAAACACTTCGCTCGCTCCCACAATTCGCGACAAGGCTGAGCGCGCTGCGCCTTGACTTTAAGGAATAGAAGAGGGATTGCAGTCCTTGCGTGTTGCGTGCGGGATTTCTGCACAAATTTCCAATTCACAGAGGATTGCCGTGTGGGTGGCGACACGTCTCAATGAGGCGTGCGCGCCGGGCTAATTTGCGTGTCACTGTAAAAGGATATGGTAGGCTCGTACATTGGATCGCCTGAGTTGCAGTCTGAGTTGCGGTCGTTGGTGTCCATGGCGGCGCGGATGTGGCCGTAGTCGGGCGAGCTGCCGTGATGCGCGGCGGCCAGCAGCGCCGGGTGCAGCATCGTGGGCGGATGCGGCAGCGGCGGCGAGTCCCTGGTGTCCATCATGCCGCCCAGGCCGGGCGGGCTTGAGGACATCTTCATGTGGTGGAGCTGCGCGGGCTGCGGCTGGGGCGCGTGCGGCCCGTGCGGCGCGTGGGGGTTGAAGAAGGGACTGTAGGGCGAGAACACCTGCGACTCGTGGAGCGAGGGATTGGGAATGGCCACGGACGTGGGCAGTGACATGGGCATCATCGACGGTGGAGGCGGATGGTACGAGGGCCGCGGCGACGGGCTCCCCGATGGCGTGCTCGTGGCCACACTCACGGGTGGATTCGTGTAGGGCTTCCCGGGGCCGTTGCTCGGGCTCTCCATCTGGGCCTGTGGCGGCCCAATGCCGTCCTGGGCGAGGATGCGACTCACCGTGCGCGGTGTGATGCGCGTGTCTGTGACTTTGGACCTCTTCTTCTTGGGCGTCACCACCAGCGGCAGCGCCTCGGTCTGCTCTGGGTTCTGCTCACGCGGGTCTGGCATGCAGAAGTCATTGAGCTTCATGGAGTTGTACAGCGCCGCCGCCGTGACGGGGTTCATCTGCTGCTGTCCCTGCGCCTGCGACTGCGGCTGCTGCTGGGGCGGCTTGGGTGCCTGAAACATTGCCGCTGTGGGCGAGGGACGAACGTGAGGTGGCATATTCATATTCATTGCTAAACTACTATCGTGCTGCTGCTGCGGCCCGTTCACGTGCATCGGCATCCCCATGGGTGGGAACGCGCTGCCGTTCATCCGAGGTCCGCCCTGAGTCATCATTGCCGCCGGCGCATGGCTCGATGGCGTCTGCTGACTTAGGCTACTAACAACTTGCTGTCCATTACCTGCTTGCTGCACGACACCTTGCCTGTCCGCCACTTTGGTGCGCGGCGACTTGCGGTCCAGCAGCTGGGACGCCATGATCAGGTCCTTGCTCAGTTGCTCCGCGGCCGCGGCCGCCGCCTCGGATTGCTTGCCGAGGAAGCGTCGCTGGTGGATGAAGCGGCTCACTATGGAGTCCACAAGATTGGAAAGCGACGCCGTGATCTCTGACTTTAGCATGTCGGCGAGCCCCTCCAGGTCGGAGCCCGACATTGGTCCCACGGCGCTCGCCGTGCGCATCATGCTGAGCCTGTCCGACAGGTCTGACGGCAGCGCGGCCACTTTGGGCGGCATTTGCATCGGCTGCTGCTGCGGTTGGCCGGGCGAATGGTGAGTCTGCTGCGGCGGCGGCTGAGGCGGATGCTGCGCCGGCATTGGCAGTGTGGGCTGCGGCTGCGGTTGGCTGGGCGGCTGCGACTGATGTTGCGGCTGGTGCTGCTGCACTGGCATCGTGGACGCCTGCTGCTGTTGTTGCTGCTGCTGCAGCCGCTCGCGCTCTCGCTCATTGTGCTCCGCCACCTCCTTGGCCATCCGGGCTTCCTGCTCCAGGAACAGTTTCTGACTCACGCCCAGGTACATGGCAGCGGCGTTGCTGATGGCGTGATGGGAGTGCTGCGGGTGCTGCAGCGCGGCCAGCTCGTGCACGGCACTGCTCGCGGCCCCGTGCTGCATGTGCTGCAGCAGCGGATGCGCCCCGTTGAAGCTGGGCGGCAGGTGAGGGTGCAGCGGTAGCTGCGAGTGCAACTTCCCCGGGAGCATCTTGCTCATCACCTGAGACAGCATATTGGGCGTAGATGTCTTAGGCGATGGCAGCTCCTTCAGCGGTGATGACATGGGCATCCGCTGCACCTTCTCACTCGGCTGCTCGATCACGTCCTCCTGCTCCAGATCACTCGAATTGTCGTCCGCCTCTTGGCTCTCTGAATCCTGGTTCATCCTCGTGCACAGTTGCACGTACTTCTGCTGCATCTCCGCCAGCTGCTCCTGCATGGAGCGCAGCTGGGATTTGAGGGCGTTCTTCTCCACGCGCTTCTGGTGGATCTGCGGCGACTCGATCCCATCGTCATCGTCCTCGCTCATGGAGCCGAGGCCCAGGTACACCGCCGCCGCGGAGGCCGCGTATCGCTCCACGGCGCTGTTGTCGTGCTGCTGTGGGTGGTACAGCTTCCGCTTCTTGCACCCATTCACCTGAGGCTGCTGCGGCGGCAGCGCCGGGCTGGAGCGCATCGTGGACACGATGTTCTCCACGCGCGCCCGCTTCATGTCCAGCGCCACGGGCGGCTCACCCTTGCCCTGGGGCGACGGCGACATGCCGCCATCCTTGTCGTTGTCCATCTCGAGCTCCTCCTTGGGCCGCAGCAGGAGGCTGTCGTCCGGATCGGGGGAGGGCATGGAGTCGGAGTCTGAGCGCGAGTTCAGGCCCATCTCGTCGTCCAGCAGCTCGTCTCTTGTCCTCAGGGAGTCCTTCTTCTGGCCACCCTTTTGATTCATGTGATTCTGTTGGGAGCGCACATCCTGGCCCGCCTGTGACGTCTCATCGGCACTACTCGAGTCGCCCAACGAGATGGAGTCATTGCGCTTGATCACCTTGCCACCGCACTCACTGGAGTCACTCATATCACCACTGCCACAATTGCCACCCACCGAGTCACCCTTGGCGTCTGAATTGATGCTGTTGTTGTTGTTGTTCTTGTTGATGCTGTTGTTGTTGTCCGGCGAGCTGCGCTCGCCCGACCCGCCGCCCGCCTGGTGGTTCTGGGCGGCGCGCAACTCCTGGTCCAGCGCCATGAGCTGCTCCTTCTTGTTCTGCAGGATGTTGCGCAGCATGTGGTGCGCCAGATCGCTGGGCTGGGGCGGCGTGCTGCCGCCGTCCAGCTCCACACTACTTCCACTACCGCCGAGACTACCGCGGCGTATCACTGCACCACCACTCGCGCTCCCCGTGCCCCCGGCCGGCGAGTTCAGCTGGGCACCCTCGAAGCCATGATTGGCCACACCGTCCGCGTTCACTACGTCCATCGTGGACAGTAAGTCCGGTCCAGAGGCGTCCTGCGCCTGCTTCACTTGGCGGCCCAACAACTCGTTGAGCATCTTCGCGGGCCCGTAGTTGGGGCCGAACAGTCCGAAATGCTGCTGACTCTGGCTAAAGATAGCCCCGTAGAGACCTCCACTCATGAAGGATGGTCTTGAACTGAAATTCGGTATTGACGAGTAACTGTTTCTTGGTTCGCCCGCGTCTACACGCTGTCTGGTTCGTTTGGATTTCTTCAGTAACTTATCTCCGTACAAGCCGTAACAGTCTGTGTCCTCCTCTGATGACATCATAAGAACAACACAACTTTATTGGCCTAGTGACCATAAAAGTGGGAGATGTGTTCCCCCCTCCAATGTTCTTCAACGTATTCCTCGTCTGCTTACACTTATTACTCAATACTTGATTCTCTGGATGTATCGCACGACTCAATGCCCCTTCCACTTGCCGACGATGCCCCTCTCTTAACCCGGCCTTAGAATTCCCCTTCCATCGCATGGACCTGCGAATGAGAGAGAAAGAAAAATGCCATTGTTAGTATCGCACACAGAACCACGCACACAACCGCATCTTAAGCTCATTCTCTTTCGTCTTTTTCGCTCCATTCATTCATTCATACATCGTCGATATCGCTCCTCTCCCAATTCACACAGGCACTCGCTCTATCAGCTAAGAATCCTAAAAAGATCCTGGCCAGAAGTATTCTGGCCACTCGATTAATGGCATATCAAGTCTCTGGGATTATCCGAAAACTGCATCCAGGAAGAAATGCAAGCCATATGCGGCCGCAGAAGAAGGGGACTCGTGCCCCTATATCGCTATTGCGAGAGGCACTCATTCAAGGGTTTGCCGGTGCCGCACAGAGAAATCGTGTGCTATGCGGAATAATGCCGAAAAGGCCGGGGTGAGGAAGAATAAGACACACACACGCTTGGGGTGGAAGGAGAGCGAGAAGGCGCATTTGCACACCTGGATGAGTGATTTCGAGTAAGCAGAAGGCACCCCTCGACAGAGTCTCACGAGTCAGCTGGACGGGTCCAAATGTTGTGCAGACAAACCAATTTTCTCAGCCGCAACTCAGACCCCCGCAACATGTCGAAAATGTTAATTTGACTCATCGCTGGGCTTGCGATCAAAGTCACAATGACGATGCTTTTGACATATATTATTGTATATAGTCATTAGATAAAAGATTCATAAAAAAAAGAGGCAAGAAGGGGTTTGTCACTGCGCGCTCATGTACACAAATCCTATCAATTCTTTGAGCTATCTCAGTTATTAAAGTAAAATGCAGAAATTATTCTTAAACCAGGAATTCTTGGAGGCCAAAGGGAAAGTCTAATTAAAATTTGAATGGGAAATACAATCGTAACTTTTAAATGCCTTTAAAATTTAAACTGCTGCCCTCTGGCGGCCATGTGTGGGAAAAATAATCAGCAAAAATTCAAAACATTCAATTATTGAAATTTGTACGGAGAAATTTTAATTTAAATACAGCTTTTTCTCCTATGATTGGCCCCCGAGGAAACCTCGAAACACCGCCTGAGAAATTACCATCAGTGGAAGACTCTATTTGATTGGAAAGAATGGTGTCCGAGGAGCATTTATGAATAAATAACATGTCTTAATAACACGCTGCCTTGGCAGTTAGGAAATTTCTCACAATCGTCCGAGGGCGGCAAATCGATGGGGTGGGTGGCGTACGTGTAAGTTGTATTTCTGTGTCGTATATTGAGTAAATAACTTTGATAAATCTGCCCCGATAAGAGGCACTTAAACCAACAGACACGGAAAAAGAACGCAAATGACTGGGCGAGGGAGGCCTGTTTGGCCTGATCAATCAATAATGCGACTCTTATCGAGCGCCCAGTGGAAGATAGACACCTTGTCGACTTTCTCCACTCACAACAGAATAGTTTGCGCCAGTCAATGCACCGTGCAAAACTTCACAAAACTTTTCCTCGTCACAAATGGGTGCAATTAATAAGTGATATAGTTTGACGGGAGTGAGAGAGAGAGAGGAGGAAATATTCCCACGAGACAGAGTTCCGGTCTCCAGGTTCTGGTAGAAAATCATTGGCGCATGAGAAATTTTTCAAGACAGTGGCATTGTACGAAAAACAAAGCCTCATTCACCCCTAATTACTATGAAATATTCATGGGCCATATTGCACACTCGGGCACCAGCAGCACTCCTTGGAAACTGCGACATACGGTGGAGTAATTATGCCGAGTTTCATACTTCAAGGCGATAAGGTCCCACTTGTGGTGTTGGTGAATGTTTTCTTCATGGGAAAAGTGCCGCTGCTCCTCTAGTATGCCCAGAATATGCTACTTTCAGGTATTCTCAAGTCAAACAATCACACTTCCCATGTGCCTCATGTTTCGGGATGTGGTGGGATTGAGTGCAAAAACAGGCACGAAGACTATTCTTCTCACACTCACAAAAGACATCCTGAAGAAATTCATCTTCTTTCGAGCCTCTGGCGTTCCAAGAAATTGTGAATTATGCTTCAGGGTGTTCATCGGACGTCTTAAGACGCACAGAATGTTTCATTTGAGTAACTTCGGGTATTTAAATTTATCGGTCAGAGGTCTTTTAAATGCCACCGAGTCACTCGTGACGATAACGACTTCCCAACACTGTCGTAATCTCGAAGCAAAACACCCACCTGAACGCACCATATGCCACGCTCCGACTGATTCCGTCCCTCTCAACGTCTTCAAGACATTTAAAGCGAGCAGTTGGCAAGACTTAAGAAGGGTGCCTGCGGAATTGTACGGTAAGTCACTCAATGGAACAGCCTTTTAAAACCATAATCAATGTTCCTCCAGGTACGTTACCTGGAAATTTATCTTCGCCCCACGACGAGAGAGAGGCAAAAAAAGCCATCAGACAATTTTTAACGAACTTTTCTTGGTGCCCGTCCAAGAAGTACAATATGATTGTGCCAACAAGCAGAACGATTGAGGCCGCGCTGTGTGGATGGTTTTTGACTTTGTGGGAAGACAATTAAAGAGATCAACGGTCAGTCTTGAATATATCAATTTCATGTAAGCCAAGAGGAATGCAAGAAGAGTGTCGTCACGGCGGTTGCAACTTCCTCATCCTTTAATGTACTTTTTTCGTCATCTTCGCGCCCTCATTGTTTGCCACTAAAGAGTCTGTCGATGAGAGTCTCTGATTTGTCCGGAAGTGCTTGTTAAATAGTGCGTGGAAATTTCTCCGCCACTGACATCTTTGAGGTTTTTCACCTTCTTCGCCTTCCTCGTCTCCTTTTCACATCGTCCCAGAGGGAAAGAGAGAGAAAGAGAGAAAGAGAGAGAGAGAGAGAGAGAGAGAAGTGTGAACACTTTGGGATCGAACTTCTCCATCAGATAATTATTGACAGTAACCCAAAAAATTACTATATTTTAATGCAATTATTAGCAAAATGTTTGTGACAAGATAAATTAATACAATTTCAGGCTAAATTGCTTGTCAATTTTATAAATATAGAATATTTTCATTAATTTTAATAACACTTTCAGTGAATTTGATAGAATAAATTAACTGAATAGATAAGTGAAAAAAGCCAGAGGTTAGAAAAATCTGCGGCTAACAGAATCTCGTTTCTATTATTACTTTATTAGGGCATTTTGGGATTGCCTTGGAAGGTATCGCAGCCACTTCTGGCTAGCAAATCAAGACCCCCATGAATATTAATGCGAAGGACTCTCTCCGTGCATCTCCGATTGCAATGCAAAGAGCAATTTCTCAGCAATTGCAACTGCATGCATGCCATATTATCTCAATTCCAGCTCCTGAGAAGAGAATTGAGTGTCTGTTTGGAAACAATGTGTGAAAGACCACTCAACAGGATGTTAATAATACACTTATGCTGGCTTGTGATTGCGATTAAGAAAAAGTGCTCAACTCTTTTTTATCACTCAACTTTAATGGGTTTATTGTCTCTTCTTTCCTTCCTCTCGCCATCGCTCCTCCTCGCATAGTTTTATTTCCGTGTGACAAGATGATTATGTATGTTGGGAAAGGCTTCTTTACACTCTTCAGCGTTTGTGTCTTTGCATGGCTGAGAGTGTGATAATTCGAGGGTGTTCCAGTTTCCCTATGTGAAAAGGCCTCTCGGAATTGGCTCTGGCTAAGTGGGGTGGCCTTAATGTGCCAAATTGTCAACTTCAACTTCCGATTAGTGTTGCAGAGCGGAAGACAAAAGAGACTCTATCAGGGGATCATCTCACAAATTTGCCACGGAGACACTCTGGGTGCAAATGAAGCACGCATTTCGCGGACTCGATGGGAGGAAATAGCGACAAAATAAATGAGGAAGCCACTCTTAAAAGACCCTCCGTCAGACAATCTCAGTGGGGAGACTTGGGGCGATTGAATGTGGAGCACCGCAACATCATACCTTTCATTGCATGGGTTCAGCGCGAAGCTCGTGGCGTCGTGCAAAATCATTGGCAACAGAGAGAGTGCAAAGGCAGCTGAAAAGAGCCACGAATCCGCCTGACAATTCACAAGGGAAAGACGATTTAGTTATAGAGATTTAACTGCAATGAGTTGCGAGCAATTGACGTTAATTTCATTTGTGTGGAATATTTACAAAACAAATTGTCGCAAAACAATTCCCTTGGCAATTTTCTTCTTCCCAAAGTTCCCAAGCGAATGCAACTTCCGCGCCTCCCATTTTCGCGCCCGTCGCGAGAGCATTCTGATTAGAATATCCGGTTCTGCGTGTTTTATTTTTCCTCAAGTAGAATTAATAGCCGCGCCGTTCAGATGGTAACACAATTCCTCCTCCATGTCCAGAATTGTCTCGCGAGCAATTGATCTGAGTTGTTGCGCGTCAATTTGTTCATTATTCTGCACTATACATTATCCACCACACATTGTCACATGGGAATATTTATTTTTAACCACTTGAGGAGAGTGTGAGAATTTCTCCGCGGGAAGACACCCATTGTGCGCGACGCTCCTCATCTGCCTCTCGAGTGACTTAATTAATTTGATTGTTTTTATCTTCGTCCAATTAATCGTGCTGGATGCATTCGGAACGCGAAACTAATTTGTATAATACGTATGAGTCACTCCTGCCATGAATACATTCAATTAACATGTCTTCATCAAATACACATGAAACATAAATACAAAAGGAGACTCTGAAAAGAGAGCAAAACGAGGAAAAAACAGTACAAGAAGCAAATGAAGAACATGGAAATGTGTGGCCCCATTTTATCCTATGACTCTCAATGGACTTTTTTCGACACCCTCCTATATTTTCCACACTATACATCGCGCATTTCACGCAGAGGGTCGAACGAGGTGTTTTGCTTGTGTATTAATTTAAGAAAAAATCCCTCATCAGAACAAGAAATTGATTTTATCCATTTCAAAGTATCTCTTGAGTCTGTCAACTAAGATTGCCGACTAATTTTTCACCATCAAAATGTTGCACTTTCAAGTCCTCTGGAGCACCCAAACCGATCCACCTTGTAGGG